ACACCTGGTCAGTGAGGCCTGCTTTGATAGAGTTTGTTACAGACTGCCTTATGTTCTCCTCCATCAAATTATCACCCAGGGGCTTCAATACCTGTGGTATGAGAAATGTGCAAAATAAACAAAAACGTGAGGTAAAAAAAGTTACATATAAAAATAGATATAAAAATTCAATTCAAAGCAATGATGAAAATAACCAGGAATGTGGGAAATAAAAAGATGCTTCTCCCAAAAAAGTTATGATGCTACAAATAATGCAGTTAGACATTTTATATGCAACAAAAATTACTTTCCTCTTATTCAAACCATTTACAATTCCTATGAGATGGATGTGCAATTCCATACCCTATATGCAGCATCAAATCTGGTATGTATACAGCATTTATGCAGACCGGCCCAGACGGTCCTGCTTATTGTCCTACATGTATAAGTGTGAACACTTCAGATAGAGAAAAAAGTTAAAAATACTGTCTAATTTTTCTTCTTGTTATTGTTGGATGACAGTCTCTGTCGCTGTGCTGATGAAAGAGCACGATGAACCATTCGACGTCTAGTAACTTCAAACAGTTTGGAAAACACCTAAAACATGGAGTGATGTGTTAGGAGAATGACTCAAAGTGCCTTGAAGCTAAAGAGTTTAAGACTACAAGAATTTGAGACTTTGTAGGTTTCTCACCTTCCTGGGACTCCTCTGAAGCAAAAGAAAAGAGAAATGCAAAGAAATTTAGACAAGGTTGGTTGACACAGCACAGATCTTCTCTGACTAGTGATCACCTTACCTCTACTACACTGAAAACAATTTTACACACTTGAGATTCTTCCATATTTAACTGTTTTGTCATAACGGCACCTCTAAAATCCTAGAATCAATGCTGTACAGAGATACACATTTTTCAAAAGAAAACACTGTACAATTAATTGAAAATAATCAATTGCAGAAAATAATGGTCCAAAGTTTTAGTCCTTTTTTTAAAAGTGAGGCTAATCCATCTTCTATTAGATATCAAAGAAAATGAAGTAGTTGAGGGTTTTTCTTTGAAAGATAAAAATAACACAAATATTCTAACACAAACTTCCAAATCAGATGTGAATAGAGCATTTCTCTAAAGAGCAAATACAAAATCCAAATATAGTGAGTCACTTTATAAATTAATGATATTATTACAAGAAGAGTCAACATCCAATCAACTTTCTTCAAAAAATGTCTATTTCTTCAGTCTTTGAATTTAAAGCCAAAATAAACATGGACTTTGCATGTGCTAAATCTTCAAGTTAAGTTCAATACTTCAGAAATGACATCTAAAAATGCCCATGGTATCATTCATCAGTGATAACTGTAGGTTTCATTCCGGTCCTTGACATGATGTTCAAGTATTTCACAGTAATCATTTTAATAACATCCTTGAGTGGACACACAGGTATTTCTTCTCCACAGATGGCAGATACATAAAATGTCTTTCCTTAGTGGATACTTTCTGGGCAAGAGTTCACCACTCCACTTTCAAGTCTGGTTTGAGGTCAAAGATCATGGTGGAAGTTGCTTCTCTGCTCATGATGCTCTGTTCATTAGTATTTCCACAGTATAGAGGGTCAAAGTTTCTTTGGTAAGAAATCTCTAGAGAATTTCTCTTTGTAGTACAAGAGGAA